TTAGTATCTCTAGCATTATATATTGTAATTGTTATTTCAAACTATATACAGGAGAAACATGTTTAATTCAAAAGATGATAGATCCCTTTATTTGGGAGATAGCAATAGAGTTTGTTTTATTTTGGCTGACAATAGATTTCAATCCATATCAGGGCCTAAGGCTCGGGTTTCAGAACCAGGCATCATTACGTGACTTACCTTTTTCCAAAATCATCATCTACCCTAATTTATTGGATGGAGTCTTATTGATACCATTTTTAACATCTCAGTCCGTTCTGCTTGGGTTAAACTCTCAAAACGAGTAATCAGGTGTAACTAGATAAGATGATTACCATTTAAGGTGGGTCTTACTTGTGAATTATTCAAGAATACCTTTTTTTTTTTTTTACTGATATGTGTTTTTGGGTGCAACAAATTCTTCCCACTTAGAAGCCTACTATTTGGAGGGTGATCCAGTCAATTCATGCTTGATCGCCATCTTGGAAGCCTACTATATGTTGTGTCTTGCGAGAGCTTTCGCCACATCAATTAGACCCCTACCCTATAGGATCGGCTTAGGTCTACTCTTCTCGAACCTCATATCTCCTAGACGGGGTGCCGCTGTCATACCAATAATCCGATCAATTTTACATCAGTTTGAGTCCTCAAAATGAGTATCTGACTAATCACATAATGTAGGGACAATGAGTTTTATAATCACCCAAGAGAGTCTCTCCTATCTGAGATGGGACTATGGGTGTGCTTGGGAGAGCTATGCCCTTTCCCCCCAAAGATCTTTAACTGAAGTTGTATTTGATGAAAGTAAATAGCATTTCGATGATTTAATTTTGTTGTATATTTTGTAAAGCATCGGCAGAGAGGGTGGGGATACTAGGTGAGCTCTGGCAATGACCTAAGGTGATCATCGGCAACAACCAGAGGCGAGCATTGAGTGAACGACTTTCGTCTCGGCATATCTCCATTGGTCGATGCTTGGCCGGTCAACCATTGGAGACCAGATCTCAAGCTGTTTGGCCCTTGTTGCACCAGATTTCAACCTCGGATGGTCGACCCTCGACAATCGGATTTCATGTTGATCGAGCCTCGTCACGGCACATCTCCACTAGTCGACCCTCGTCACACTAGATCTCGACCTTGGCCGATTGACCCTCGGTGACTAGATCTCGCGTGACCCTTGGCAACTTTGGCAGCCAAGTTGATGGCCGCTTGGGCGATCACAACAACGTCGTGGACGAGACCTAAGGCCATTAGTCTGATGACACACGTAACTGCTTGAGTTTGCATTATCTATGGGGCATTTGGGGGTAAAAGCGAAATTTTAGTAAATTTTTTAGGGTAAGAAAGACAACTATGAATATTCATTAATTCTTGGAGAGGGCTTTATGAAAATGTTGCAAATCAAAAGTAGGAATGACCGGGCTGGGGCTTTGGGGTTTGCCAATACTAGCTTTCATTCAAACTGGTTCAAAAAAGTTTTACCAAATGCCCCAACTTTCACTGAAGGTAGAGGCTCAATGTCTCTTCTCAAAGTTATGCCAAATGCAGCCTATATTATGTGATGCCTAGCATTTGGTATAGGTAAGACAAATCTGGCGATTGGATTTGGTCAAGCCTTTGATTACCTACACTTCCCAAGCAATGGAGATGAGACAAATTTGTTAGGAAGAAAAGGACCGGCATCGAAAGAATTAGAGAAATGACAGGAAAAGTGTCAGAAAAGTCATAAACCTATTACATTTATACCAATTTAGTCCTAAACCTTTTTTTGATGTCAATTTAGTCATAAATCTTTTATCTTTGTGATAATTCAGTCCTTTCGGCTAATTTTGGTCTGATTTTGTTGACGTGTACGCCGACCGGCTTACGTGGCACAGTCGGCGATGACGTGGACAATTTTTAATAATATTTTAATATTTTTCTAATTTTTTAATATTTTAATATTCTTTTTTTTCTTTTCCTTTCTTCTTCCTCCAGGAAATCGCCGGTTTGGCGATTGGCTGGAGGCCAGGGCTGGCGAGGCTCGCCCTCGTTAGCGACGGCGACGGCGATGGCGATGGTGAGCCTTGCCCTCCTAGTGGCCACGAGGTCACGGCCTTCAACCTCGTGGCCTCTGCCCCGCCGGCCAAGGCACGACCTTGTCGGATCCCTCGCGATGGGCTGGCAAGGGTCGAGCCCCACTAGCCATGGGCGAGGCCCGACCTCGCTAGATCTGGCGAGGTCATGCCTCACCCAACGGCTGGCGAGGGTCAAGCCCCATCGGCCATGGGCGAGGTCCAACCTCGCCAAATCCGGTGAGGTCGAGCCTCGCCCAGCCGTTGGTGAGGGCTCGAGCCTTCGCCAGTGGCCGCGAGGTCGCGGGCAAGGCTTGTCGTCGCCGTCGCTATTGAGGGCGAGCCTCACCCTAGCCTCCAGCTGGTCCTAGTCTGGCGACTGGCTAGAGGAAGAAGAAAGGACAAGAAAAAAAAAGAAGAAAAGAAACAAATTTTTAAAATTTTTTAAATTTTCAAAAAATATTTAAAATATTATTAAAAGTTGTCAACGTTATCGCCGGTAATGCCACGTAAGCTGGCCAACGTCCACGTAAGCAAAATCCAATCAAAATTAGCCGAAATGACTGAATTGTCATAAAGACAAAAAGTTTAGAACTAAATTCGCACCAAAAAAAAGGTTTCGGACTAAATTAGCACCAATGCAAAAGGTTTGGGACTTTTTCAACACTTTTCCCGAGAAATAACTATGCTGGTCCCTTTGTACAATGTACAGTACTATACCGAAACTAAGCAACTTTTCCTTTTTTTTTTGGTCCGCCAGGTGTCAAGACGACGGGTGTATTATTTATTATGTTATAGTATAAGATCCCTTAAATTTGCCATGTATCAACGGATTAGGGTGTCTCGATTTCAATAATTTGAGAATCTCGCTTGAAAAACTAGCGAACACGACGTTCTTATGCCAAACATACTCGTCAATGCACTTTTTTCATTCACAAATTTTTTCCAGGTTGATTTTAATGATTTTGGCTCACGGCACAAATTCCTTCTTTGTATTGTCAAGTACTATCGTTCTCATATGCTTAGACCACTAATCGGAGTTTCAACTTACGATTTGCCTAATCCATGAGATAATAAGACCTTCCTCACCATAAGAAAGAATGTATTAATAGTAATTCAACCTCATGGGGAACTCTTTTGCAAATTTTCGAACTTTCATATTTAAGTTCTGAATATAAACTATCTATGGAAATATTCACCAATCTGAAAACAAATTAATTTACTCATTAACTCTAGGTCAAATTTTTTTTTTTTTTGGTGTGAAACTCTAGGTCAAATTTTTGTTTGCTTAAATAGTAAAATTCTTCTACAATAAATGAAATTAGGATTCCCTGTACACTAGCTAGCACAGACTCTTCATGCCACTCTAATGAACTCTATTATAATAATTAAATATTAAACAACGCATTTATCTAATAGTTTAAGTTTTTAGAATAGTTGGCAATGGTTATAGGCAAAAAGACTAGATTAAGCTTGAGAGGAAATGTTAAAATAATTAAATATTAAATAACAGATTCATCATCCCTTCTGCACAAACACTTCTACCGGCGACTTCTAGTGAGCCAAAGTCAAAATAATTGAAGGGAAAATGAAAAAAAATTAGGGATAACCATAATTTCATTAATTAGGTGATAATCCTAGTTATATGGTAAAATCTGTCACATCACTTATACATAGGTACTCCATTATATCTATGTCAAGTGATCTAAGACTGCAATAATTCAAAGATACATTCAAGAGAACGAATCGTTTCTGGAAAGAAATTAAAGATGGCGCGAATCTGGCTTCTTGGATTGGTCAATCTTTTCAAGATCCATCTCGGTGAAGTCATCCTTAATGGCGTTTTCGAGGTGATTCCTGTTCTTGCAGTAGATTGCATATAAGATCAGCTGGGCAAGCCCAAGTCCAGTTCCCAATGCATTAGGCACCTGCGACGACATTAACATCAATTTCTTCAACTTCAAGTAAACTAAGGGAACGATGTTACACTTAATCGACACGATGTGGACTTCAATTACGATGTAAAGAACTTGTGATGCCGAAGTAATTTCCATAGATAATAAGCAACAATACAAGGGTTGTAGCATACGATGACGAACGGGTCGCCGCTGAGAAGGCCGTAGGCGAGCCACGACGCAGCACATAGGAATGCAAACAGTGACAAGAAAAATGGCATGAACTCCACACTCTTTGTTTTGATCACCATCCTCTGCAGGAATCCGTGGAAAACGTTGGAAACCCAATTGTGAATGATCAAGTACAATCTTAATTTGAATATGAGGTCTTGCTCTTGGGTTCGTCATGATGGAGGAATGATCTTACCATGACTGAGAGAGGCGAAGCATACATGATAGTAGAGAAAAGGGCCGCAGCAACGCCGCAGAAGAATTTCCTGGTGTTGCCATGCAGCGCAAGGAGGGAGATGGAGGCGATGGCCGAGAACACAGTCATAATAAGAGCAAAGAGTCCCATAACTTTCATCCTCTCCTTCTTTGGTGCATACATAAGGAAGATCACTATGTATGTGAATTCAATCACACCGCCGATGCCGTTAATGGTCGTTAGGAGAAGATTGTTTCGTGACACGAATGGGAGGCCATACCTGTTAAGCCAGTCGGTTATGCATAAGTAAACAAACATAGACTACTTGTCCAAGGTTGATTGGAGAAAGCGATAGAACGGAGAAGGTAAAGGAGAGAACATTCGGATTCAATTTGACTAGACAATCAACTTAGTGTTCGAAGTTTGAAATCGCGACAAACTACATAAGTTAACAATTTTTGGGATGAATGGGATGACAAAAGATTGGTATATGTGATACTATAAAAAACTGATTAGTGTGGATTGGTGATAGTAGACTAGCTAGCTCACAACCGATTATCATACTTCAGTCGCATTCTTGTCATTTGCTTAGCAGTACTCGGAGAATTTACATCATTAGAAGAGATTACCAAGCGAAGACGATGCAATTAAGAAGGGTCATGACGTAGGGGATGCCCGAGAACTGCTCAGTCGACCGGCTTCTTATGATCCTCTTGAACGTAACCCTGCAAGAAATTATGTTTCTTTCCTGTTTTCGGCCAAAGACGATGATAAGAAAGCAAGCGATACTCTACAAGACTTACACAGGCGCCAAGAAAAGGAACAGACCGGCTGCATTTCCTACGTTTGGAACAAAGCAAGTCGCATAGCGTTAAAGCTAAGAACATGTGAGGACAGAAGAATAATTGAAAAGAAAGAAGAAATGTACAACTGAGATTGAGACATAAAAAAATACCAAGAACACCGATCAAGAAACGCAGGACATTCATGTTTCCTAAGTATGGCTTGATCAGAACCAAAGTGAGAAGGAAGTGAAATAAGGTAACTTGACAAGAAGCGACAACTTTCAAGTCAAAGAAAACTTGGCAAGGTTAATGAGCATGACAAGAGCAAATTGACCAACTCGTTTATATAGAGAAGAATAATGCTAGGGGAACGAAGACCCTGGAACAAAAACGATCGATGAAGGGATAACAAATCATAGCTGGACTTTTGAAATAAGTAGTTCATAATCATACACATGACCGAAATTTGCCGCATCGCTTGATAACCCGGTCTTAAAAATTCTAGCATTATTCTACGGCCAAACAAATTGCAATGAAGAGCAGACAAACCCTAGTGGAGGATCCTTTTCACTTTTCCAATGGAAATTTGGTAAGTTTTCCACTTAAGCCGGTGCCTGCTGTGGATAAGTTGATACACTTTGTTGCATGGGTGACAAAGATCACACTTTCTAAGTGGAACGTTCTGTATATATGTTGGTCATTTTCTTGATCTACCAGTGCGGAGTGGGTTTACTACTGCAAAAAAAATAAAATTAGTTTCATACATTTTTCTTTTTGTCGCTCGGACGGAGATCCTCTAGGTATTTAGCTAAATTCACTATCCAATCTAATCCAAATGAGCCAAACTCTCAAAATAATACTTAAAAAGGTAGCATTTGGGAGTGCACCACTATTTATGAATCTTTCGACTATTACTTTTCACTCCATGTGAAATTTGAAGTGTGGGTTTAAGAATTTAAGAGTACAAAAGGTCATTAAAATTCACACTCAGATAATAGGATATGGATCCCTGAAATTCAAGAATAAATTTGCATTTTAAATTAGATAGTTGATATATTTGCAATCAACTCAATGGACCCGATTCAGCCACATCATTCTATTTGACATAACCTTCCCAAAAAGATGCCCTTCCAATTTTGAAGAAAAAATCTCTCTCTTGCGACTTGAATTTCCATCGACTGGCCAAGTTTGGTACATGGTGATGTGGACAACTTTTGCCCTTTAGACTCTACCTCAATCGCCTAGGCCCAGCCAAGCTTCACAAGAAGCTATGTGGACACAATCCACTACGTTGAATAAGGAGTCACATTTGAAATTCCTTATGTAGATATTTCATGAAACGTTGATATTCAATTTGAATAGGCCACCAGTCAACAGTTAGCTACAATACCATTTATAAGGTCACGAGACAAAAACCCAATATCTTCACTCAGAGTGATCACCGTGGGAGCCGAAGTCTAAACCCATCAATATATCCGGTTGAACTCACATGCATTCAAAAATCTAAGGTAATAAATGATGAGTCAACTAAGATATATTAATTACTCCATTTTACACCACAAATCCGTTATAGGATTTCTTTCGTCTAGTAGCCTCAAACGTGCCCCTCAACATTATCTTTAATAAATAAACCAAAATTGCATTGGAGGAATCACATTATGGACCTTTGTGCCATGTGCTGACTGCGTAAGATAAGAAATGTTTCTCAAAAGGCTTCTTCCACCATTGATTAATTTAGTGACTGCATTAGAGACATGACACCATATATGGACATTTCCCCCACAAAAGTAGCTTTTCCCCATAAGAACAAGCGAAATAGAAGTGCAATTCCTGCGGTCAAGAAGTCCCCCTAATTGCTATAGCGAATGTCCTGCCAATACTCCCTCTCACATTCATCAAAAGTCACCACAGGTTTGCCCCCACAGCATCAAATATTATTTATCGAACATAGGTACTATTGTTTGTCTTTAGCACTAGTTCTCGTTAGCGCTCTTTTTGAAATACCAATTATAGTTTGACATATTAAATTTTGTAAATCTATCTAAATATACATACCAGTAATCTTACTTTTTACGAATGTAAGGGTATTGATGAAAACGAAGATTCTGATAATGAAGCTCTAACTGATTCTAATTTTGATTATCTTGAAAAAATCAGTGGCGATTTTTGGATGCGTGAGTAGATCCGGGATTACAGTGGAAGTTGGAGATTTTTTCCTAGACAAAAAAAAAAGTTTGCCGTAGAATTAAAAATGGACCTAAAGTTAGGATTTTTGTTTTAAGAAAAACTAGGCTACTTTTTACATGGTATTTTGTAAACCAATCTTAATCGTTGCGGTATTGCTCATGCTAATGTACTTTTCCATCGATTAAATTAGTGGCTTATACTTTTTCCACACACTCAGGACCTCAACATCAGCCTTGTCAGGGAGGTGTGACACTTTAATCATTTTAAAATACCTAATAACATAAAAACACATACGTAGCTGATTGTATGATGATGGATGATGGTTGATGGTGAAGTTTACTAATTACATATTTTAGACTTTAGTTGGGAGCTGGGTAAAGAGAGAAAACCTTTACAACCACTACTTAAAATAATATATAATGTACTATATATAATGTCCTGTTCCAAGAGTCTTCCAAACATATTAAATAATGGCAAAGCCCCATCACAAAATACGATTGTGCATATCATTTAGTCTATGAAGTTTGATGGAAGGTTTTATCTTCTCAATAGATGATATGCATAACGAATTCAACTGAGTGGACTTAAAATTGAGATCATGGCACTATGTGTCCCAAAACTTTTGTCAAGTGTCCATTGTTGTCTGAACTATTTTTTTAGTGCATTTCTAAATGATATGTTTTTTTTTTCTCTATTGTAGTCCTTCCACGAGAGAAGTTATATAAATTATGTCGTGGCGTCAAACTGTTGTTCAATACCACGTGTAACATCGATCCTCAATTTCAGTCCCTGAGAAATTGATATGGTTTAAATTTGGTGGTTTTCCAATCGGAGCCAATTTTACTCTTGTTCAGGAAAATCTAGATTCGGATCCTCTGTACCCCTTTCGTTTTGTTATTTTTGTGGAGACTTTTGTGATTCGAATTTCTAAACACTTTCTCCTTTAAAGTTTCTCCAAACATCTTAAAGTTTTACATACTTTAATTTCAAATTTTTTGAACTTGATATGAGTAGTATGATAGCCTAATTTCGGACCATGTAAAACTACCCAGAATGGGTATTTCTGTGATATTCACACTTTCTCGATTTTTTACAAACTTTTCTGGGCCAATTTTGGAAAAACTTCCTTCACAAAATTTGTTGAGAACTTCTTTCTCTATAACATAGATAAATTTGGGAATTTTTGGATATGATTTGTATTCTGAAAAGAGCTTACTTTTAGAAGCAAATATTCTATTCTGGAAAACTGATTTTAGTCTGTCTTTGAGCTACTAAAATCTGTGTTTACAAAAAGATTCAGATTTTATATTCTGCATGGAAAATGTTTGTTAAGGTCTTTTTTATGACATATTCAAATTTGGAAATTTTCTGATTTTATTTACTATATTTTTAAGCCCGATTTCTAGAACAGTACAAAAACTACCGGTTTTGTCAGATTTCAAATATTCATCATTTCCTATATGAGAACGTTGGAATCTCGACTTGATATCTCTGGTGATTTAATGTGCTCATTCTGAGCTTTTAAATGGGCTATCTAAGCTTTGATTGGAGGTCACACGAAGGGGGGAGATATGAAAACGAAATTGGCCAAGTCGAGGGCCAATTCTTCTTGTTGAAGCCGCCATTATTGAGTCATGTTTAGATGTCCCCCTCCATAATTGCTCAATAGCTGAATTGTCCACCCTCATTATTGGAGCATGGTGACTCATTGTCACCAATAATAAGCTAAAAACAAATGAGGAAGTCGGCCAAGAAGGGGAAAACCGAGAGGGAGCCAAGAGAGAGAAGGAGGGAAAGAGAGAGAGAGCTATTAATTGTTAAGATTTGCTAGATTGTTTTATTAATGTCATCAATGAAACAATCAAGAATTTTTAGATCATAGTCATGATGGCACTTGACTTTAGGGGCTATTTTATTAATTTCATTTGGCTCTCCTCCATTAATGTTATTAATGATCAAGATTTTCTAGATCATAGTCATGATGGCATTTGATTTTAGGGGCTATTTCATTAATGTCATTTAGCTCTCCTCCATTAATGTCATTAATGATCAAGATTTTCTAGATCATAGTCATGATGGCACTTGACTTTAGGGACTATTTCATTATGTCATTTGTCTTTTCTTCATGATTAAGTTTGGGGAACAAGTTGGCTTGCCTATAAATAGGTTTAGCTCCCCCCCCCCTTAGTTACCATACACTACTTCCTCGCCTCTCTCTCATCTCTCACCCTCACGCCAAACACTTCTCTCTCTCTCTCGCCATTTGCCGCCGCCGACTGCCGTAAACGTTTTCTTGTGATTATAGGTGAATGAATTCCCTAACACTTGGATAGAGCGGTGTGTTACGTGGTTGGAACGCGGCATATAAATGGATTCCCTAATCTCGGGATAGGAAGTTATGATGCGTTGTTGGCTTGAGTTCTCACCCGAGCCTTTGTTGGGACTTGCGTGTTGTTGTTTGTCTCGATGTTGTACGCATCGCTTGTTACTATACTTGATGTTCTCATTCATGCTTGTTGATTTATAACAGGATAGAACGTGGTGTTGCGAGTTTGGCTCGAGTAGTGACCGTGTCTGTGATGCTCGATGTTTGCATGAGTGCTTGTTGTTTTGCTTCATGATCGTAAGTCAAGGCACGTACAAGTCACGAAACGGGATGTCGTATGGTCTCGTACTCATGTTGTGGCGTCACGGGATGAGTTTGGCTTATTGCGGGTTTACATTGAGGTGTGTAGATCCGGGCCAAGTTCAGCTCCGAACTAGCGCTCGGCATGACGGATTGAACCACGTGCCCTCGACCGCAACCCGCATGTTAGGCGAATGTTCTAGAGATCATGAGTACACAAGCACGGCACGCCTTTGGGCTTGGTTGCATGGACTAACAAAGTCAAGATAATAAACCGGCTTGTGTGACCCATGATGTATGATCACTAAATAAAAAAAGAAGACCGTCGTCACATAGCATTGGCGGTGATGCCTCGGTAAACTAGCATCGGGATGCCCTAGTTGAGCTAGGATGCCTGGGTTGAGCCCGAATACCTCAGTAAACTAGTGCCGGGATGCCCTAACTGAGCTAGGATGCCCTAGTTGAGCCCAGATGCCTTGGTTGA